ACCACAGATTAATGCAACAGCAATATCCCAAATTTTAAAAGGCAAGGGTTTTCTTTCTCAGCAAACAGAAAGTGTTTGCTTTTCATTTGTCTTTCTGACTGTATTTGCCCTTCTTTGATCTTGAGCTGCTTTTTGTTTGCAGTGCATAAGCAGAGAGATCAAAGGAATTATGGATAAGGGAAATGAGAACATATGTTCTGATCTGATGTAAAAAGCAATCTGCAAGGCGTGCCCAACGCTTGCTTTCACTGGGGCACTTTTGCAATGTAATCAGCGAATGCTAATCAACGTTCCAGATTCAAATTCCACTTCTAGATGTCTAGAACATTTCATAAACTCACCTAAAACTCATCAATAATGGAGTTAAAAGCGAGTTATAATTCAACCATCATTTTGGCTGAGCAGAAAATATCTCATGACCAAATACAGCAGTCCCTAATATTAAATAAAAAACCTACCTGTACTTCAGACTTCTATATCATAAACTTCCAGAATTAGAATAGAATAGAGCTGGAAGGGACCTGAGAGGTCTTCTAGTCCAGGCCCCTGCTCAAGCAGGAGGATCTATGCCATCTTAGATAGGTGAATGTCTAATCTCTTCTTAAAAACCTTCAGTAATGGGGCGCCCACAAATAGATACTGTACTCTTTGAGTTACCGACCACAATTCAGCCTAAAACGTCTGTTGTTAAGCGTGACAGTTGTTAAGTAGGTTTCGCCCCAGTTTACGATCTTTGTCGCAACAGCTATTAAGCGAATCACTGCAGTTGTTAAATTAATAACCGGTTGCTAAGCGAATCTGATTTCCCCACTGACTTTTCTTGTCAGAAGGTTACAAAAGCGGAATCACATGACTTCGGGACACTGCGACTATTATAAATATGAACCAGTTGCCCAGTGTCTGGATTTTGATCATGTGACCAAGGGGACGATGCAATGGTCGTGAAAAAAGGCCGTCGTAACTTTGAACGGTCACGAAATGGACTGTTGTAAGTCGAGGACTACCTGTGTAAGGCAGCATTAAAGAAAAAAAATTCATCTTGAAAACACGCAAGGCGAGTCAGGGAAAAGCAAGCTAACATTAAACATTAGGGTTCCAAATAAAGCAGTTCCGTCAGAATCGCTCTGTCAATTCTCCTGCAAACTCTCCAGGTATCAGCGAGGTATTTCAAACTGGCTAAATTCCAGTCCCGTACATACAGATTCCAACCACCAAAAAATCCCAGTGGACATGTATGTGGGGCAAGGGAAAATGTAGGTTCAAATGCAAAAAATGGGAAAACGAAAGAAAAGCAGAATAGATTTTGCGAAAAGCTATTTTTTTTATTTATTTTGGTAAATAGTAACAGGGATGAAAAAGGAGAAAAGGGGCAGCAGCTGACGCTCTAATTCCAACAATCTCTTTTGAGACGCTCAAGAAAGCAAAACGTGCACATAGCAGGTGTGTTTATAAAACTTACATCATTCCTATTTAGCCTTAAAATAGAATCCGGTTATGGAGCTTTTAGACATCTCTAGAGAAAAAATAAATGAGATGAATAACCACCAAAAAGCAAGAGCAGCTGGAGATAAAATCCACTTTGCAGCACTATATCAAAATTATCTGAAGAATGAACACTAAATGTGACAGAAAGCTGATAAATAAAGGAACTGTTTGAACATATAACAAAGAACTGTGATAAGGAATGTGCTACATTCAATTCTAAGTTAGAATTTCCATAAGTCCTCCATTACACTTCTGGTTACCTATCAAGCAGTTTACACTAGGTTATCTTGTTTTACAATACTTTTTCTTTTTCTGCTGACATACTAAGCCCTCACTTGCACACAACAAAGCAGGAGAAATGAGGTATTGCACTAACTGTTTCTCAATTAACTAACATATCACAAGCTTTCTCCCTGACAGATTTTTTTCAATGATTCATTGAACAGTAAAAATCAAACCTGCATAACACTTGTCCAACATCAAAGTTCACTGTGCTTCTCAAATCTGGGTCACCATTACATCTTGTACATTTTCTCCAAACACTCTAAAGAAACTGATCTGCATAAAGAGTTTGCATTTGCATCAGGGTTGAAGGATAAAGAAAAAAAGGACCAGAAATCCTCAGTGCAAATCTTTGAATACTTTTCAGCTAACTTCTTGAACAGAATGGGTCAAATGTTTAATAAAATTGAAAGAGCACATTCTAATCCAGCTGCAAAATGTAACTGCAATAAATCTCTAATTTAAAAAAAATGTTTTATAAAAGTAATTTGTTAACAATTCTAATGGCCACATTATGTTGCCGATTCATATTAGTTGCATGCCCATTAAGACTTCTTATTTACTGTATACTTGCACCTTTAATTTCTTGTACTCAATCAAAACCTAGCCTTTTTTCTGTTGAATTTTATCTTGTGTGTTGCAACTCTTTTTTTCCACCTTCAAAAGCCTTTAAAAATGTGAGTCTGTTTTCAACAGAATTAGTAAGCCTTTCTGCCTCTGTGTTGTATGCACATTTGATAAGCAGCTCATCCACCTCCTCTGCCACAATATCTATTTTAATGCACAGGGAAGATTGACACAGATCAATTAATGACCATATGCTTACTACAGTATTTGCTTTATCATCCATTTGCTCCCTCTACTGTAGCAAACTTAAACCCCTTATCAACACGGGTAATCCTCAAGTTGCAATCACAATTGTCTCCAAAATTTCTCCTGCTTAAACGAGACAGTTATTAACTGAGTTTTGCCCTGTTTCGTGACCTTTTTTTGTCACAGTTGTTAAATGAATCACTGCAGTTGTTAAGTTAGTAACATGCTTGTTAAGTGAATCTGGCTTCCCCATTAATTTTGCTTGTCAGAAGGTTGCAAAATGGGGATCATGTGACGCTGGGACTCTGCAATTGTCATAAATATCTGCCAGTTGCCAAGCATCTGAAATTTGATTATGTGACCACGGGGATGCTGCAATGGTCATAAGTGTGGAAAACAGTCCTAAGTCACTATTTTCAGTGCCGCTGTAACTTTGAATGGTCATTAAATAAAGTAAGTCAAGGACTACCTGTAAGAAGGCCGCTTTTTTTAAAAAAAAAAAAAACAACCAGAGGTTGTTAAATGCTTTGCTAGTATAATATTAAAGAACTATTCTAAGCCATTCTCATTATCTGAGACTAGAGCCCTGGCCTGGAATATTTTTTTTCCTAAGAAACCTTTAATTCTTGTAACCAATAAAATGATTCACACAGGAACATTGGCATCTTATTCTAAAAGGCTGCCATTTTTGCAGGCTTTCTGAAATTTCCCACGCTCTTACTTCTCCCGTTTTTGAAGTTGGAGACATAACTTCTTCTCCAACGTTTCTCATCCATTCTAGATAATGATTGTGAAATAATATTTGCAAGCTCTTTCAGTACCTAAGTGTATAATCAAACTCTTAAGAGGCATGAAATCATCTCTTTGCTTATATTGGGTACAAATCATTCTTTAGGCTGGCAAAGCTTCTCTTTGCCACAGTTAACATCAAATTTAACTTTTTCTGAGCATCATCTTCCTCAAACATCATCTTCCTTTTAATATAGCCAAGGAAGCACCTGTTCTTACCTTCTTATCATTCACAACTATTGTTCGTGGTCTTTTCTAATATTTTTATTTGGAAAATATTCGTCAAGAAGTCAGGAACTACAAGTTTATTTCATGCTACCTATATGTAAGAATCTGATCTACTAATGGTCAAGGCAAATTGACACCAGGTTTAGGACCTAGAGATGCCAAACTGATGATGCATTTGACCCCAATCTCAGGCTCAACCTAGTCATTTCTTACAATACTCTAATAAAAGAAGCAGCATTTGATTTTCTAATTTCTTTCACTTATTATATAACAATGTAGCTCAGATATGGACACAATCCCAAACTCATGGATAAGGAAATAAATAAACTCCAGTGAACAGAACTGAACTTACTTCCAAGTTACTGTAAAGTTGTACTGGATTATGTATTAAACCTAACAAATTCAGTGCAGTATGTCTAAAAGCCCATGCCTACACCAAAACTATGCACCGTGTACAAAAATACTGTCTGCAATCAGTGGCTATTTTAATGTTTGCCTAAATATTACATACTGTGTTAATGTTTAGCACATACAAACTAAGTATTTGTTTGGCATTCACCTACTTACCTTGTTTTACGCTCAAGGGACCATGTGCTTTATACGCTAGTTTATACCTAATGTCTTAAGCATTATGAAAAAATATTCAACCTCCTGTTAACGCACGTAAGTAGAAAGGCAATAAATGTGTTGCCTACTGCTTCTCCAATAAACCCAAAGCCAGCACTCTATAGCTAAATACCATTTGTGTGCAAACTATAATCATGCTATTTTTCCATTTCTCTATCACATGTTGGAACAAGAGAAAGAGTATCACAGTAATAAAAGTGCACTTGCTCCTGGAAACACCCACCATTTGCACTGCAGGGATAATACAAGTCTTCTAATGCCTACACAAAATATGCACAAATCAGAATTCTGGTTTTCATTCGTAGCAAGTATACTACTGTGCGCAAGAATGACTTCAGCCAAATTTCTTGTCATTTCTAAGCAAGCCATAAATTATCAATAAGTAAACCATGGCTTCTGATACTGTGAGCAACCCACAAGGAGATCTGACTATGTTCCTAGAAAATGAAGTTATTTTAAATGAAGTCTAATAACAGAAACAGCAAGTTAGGAGCAATTAGCAGTCCTAGCTGCTCATGAATAATAAGCCAGCACTCATCAGAGTTCTGACACAATTCTATCCAAACACTGTTCATTCCTGTAGACAATTATTTTTATTATAACCAAGAACATGTAGGTATAAAGATATCTGGAGATGACCTTGGAGACAGGAGGAAGACTATTGCTTAGGCTGCAGAGTCCTCATCCTGTCCCCCCCCCCAGGGCCATTCCCGTATACCATTACAACAGGGGAAAATGTGGTTCACAGAAAAGGCACATATTATAGCATCTCTTACCTTCACTACAGGATGTCCACCAGTTGATGCTTTTACAGCTCCTCTGCTGCCTTCTGTCTCATAATGTGCTCTGTGATGGGTTTTTGGCTGTACTTCTATTTTCAGTTCGCATTGCCCATATTGTGTGGGTAAAGGCCAGTCTAGAGGCGGCAATGAAGATGTGCTAAAACCAAGAAGTGCATATATTTCAATATATATTCATGTAATATTGTTCTATCCTCCCTTTCAATGTTTTTTGGAGGTAGCCCTATAAATGCAGTAATAAAGCTGTGCAATATCTTAAACAAAGCAAAAACAGACTGTCTTTTTCATGTTAAAATGTTATTTTGTTTTAAAATAATTCAATTATAATTGTTTTATATTAACAAATATTAAACTAATTATCAGGAAGGAGAAAGCAGATGTGAAGAACCAAGAAAAAAAAATAGAAAAAAATTTGCATCAACTGTTTTTCCCCCAGACTCTTAATAGCTCTCCTATGCATGAAGAGGCACAGTGACAGCTAAAACTCTACTACAAAAGCGCGACATATTTCATAAACCTGCACTATCTCCACGCATGATACTCTGCATGACCTAACTCATAACTTTCCAGAAGCATTTAAGCCTTTTGTCAAGCATACCAAAGTGAACTCTCTGCGGAATTCCTTTCATCCAGTTTTACTATCCCTCAACAAAGATCCAATATGAATTGCAGTATTGTCGTTATACACACATTAAACATGTGTTAATGGAACATCAAGCTACAGACTAGCTACACAGGATTCTTACTGCAGGAAAGATAAATATTAAAAATAAAAAAGATTAGCTAACAAGCTAGGATTTAAGCACACTGTATTGTGATCACACGAGAAAGTGCCTAATGCAATCTTAGTAAAGGAGGCAGGTAATCCTTTCAAGTCCATTTTTTATAGAAAGAGTGTAAACACAATGTGGCATGAACAGTGAGCTTGATAGTTAGCAGGAAGAACCGTTGCTGAAGAACATTTCACACTACGGGAACAATAAATACAGAGGACCACTTTACGGAGAAATCATTCTGTATTATTCCAAAATATTTATGACTAGGTTGTAAGACTCCTATTTCTGAAGTAATGGAAAGACTACTGCTAATGAACTATATAACCCTTCTTCCAGAGCATAAGCAGACACTAGCTATCAATAATCTACTGAATCTGTACAAGATCAACTTTTCCCTCAATAGATCCTAAACTGCTACAGCTTGCTTTCATAGTTGTCTGGTTTATTTAAACTTAACTTCTAAAGTTAAGCGATGTCCTCCTTATTTAACACAATCACCAGAGGGTTTTACCAGGTTAGAAGTAGAATTACTAATCTACTTCTTCCCTAATCAAGGGACTAGTCAATCATTCACCCTTTTCCAAACTGCAGAAGATGGAAAATCAAGGAGGATTTCAAATATATCTTTAAAAAGAAATCAGGGGAAGGGGGGGGGATGTTGTCATCTGGGCTGCTAGGGCATGAAATGTGAAAGATGATCCAAGACCTGCTTTATAAACTAGTGTAAAAAAGAGCACTGGTACAGATATAGTAGCTGTATTAATAGTAATAGGTGACATTCACCACTGCTTCTTCCTGTGAAATATCAGCAAAAGGAGAATGGAATATACAAAAGGTCAAAAAAGTCAATAAAAACTAAACTTATAAACAAACAAAGGTACAAAATGGATTTGCCAATAACTACGATGTCAAACCAGGTTGTTTTCATAGAGGAGGCCCTGTTCTTAATATAACTATTAGGTATGGCATCCATGTGGCCTTATTGCTATTAATATTTCTTGTGCCCAAGATTAGAGAAATCTATAGTGATTGGCTGCTGTACTATTGAGAAAGTGATAATTAAATTGAAACCGATACATTAAGTTATGCAAAACAAACAAAACATTCCTTAGATCATTGAACTGATTCTTTTAGATATTTAACTAATGGATTGTACAAATCAAAAGATACGTAAGTTTAGGTCTAAAAGCAACCCTCGCATAACATTTAAAAGGAAATTAATCAATAAAGCCTCCTTTTAAAAGGAGGATATGATCTGGCCAAGTAAAAACAGTATGTTGTATGCAACATGCTGTTTTTATTTTGTTGCAAACACCTGCACATCACTGTGCCGTTTTAGTTAGCTGTGGTTAGTACTGAAAGAAGCTGTTTACAATTGCTACAACTGAGCTTCATCAAAGTATGGGGGGGGGGGTGTCGAATGGTCAGCTACAAAATTGTTCCCACTCAAGATTTCTAATCTTGATATACTGGGCTTTTTGCTTCCAGCCATTCTATTGTGAACACTAAAGGAGCTCTCTTAGGCTTGCTAAACCAGGGTTGTTTTGCCAAAGTCTGCCAGCATAAGAAACAAACTGTTCGAAACAGTATCAGTTGCTCAAAACCAATGGCTATGAGAGATCTTTCATCTTTCTGAAGTTTTTCTTAAACGGACCAATTTTGAAGAGTTAAATACTTGCCAAGTTACTTTTGATTGATACTGGAAACTTTAGCCAAGTTAAATGTTGAGGTTTGAAGAACTGATTAGCAACTAGCTATTCAGCATAGGTTTAACTTGGTCCGTTTCAACCATGATCAGAGATGATGGAACCATGATACAAAAATGTCAGGAGAACTCAGCTAGGAAACACAGACGTGATGAAATATAAGAAACTTCTGTTTCATGGCAATCTAGGAGAACTTAATTGTGGCTTTAAAATCAAAAGCCAATGTTTAATGATTCAATGTTTTATCGCAACTTTAAAATGTTAGTATGTTTGCCACTAATAAAGAACTGAATTAAAAGAAACACTAGGCGAACAAATATAGCTATGTGTAAATGTTTTAAGTTCTTAATATCTATATAGTTTAAAATGTTTATTTTTGTAAGACATATGTAGGCACTTTGAAAGTCCTCAACTTGTATGAGCACTTATCCCTTGGTCAAGAAATAAATTCATAGGCTAAGTTCACTCAACATAGCTGACTAATTTATATACATTATTGGTGAATAATCTAGATATTAATTTTTTTGTTCAGGTTTCTTTCTGTAGACACAGCTACTAACAGCTTTCCATTGTAACGTCACAGGAAATATTTGAATTGCTAAATCAGAATTTGGAGTACTGTTTAGAAGGCTTATTTGAACACTGAAAAGCCTAGCCTGAATGGACTATAAAAGAAACAGCACTAGATTCATCTTTCTTAACAAACAAATAAACAAACAAAAATACTTAGAAGTTAGTAGCCAGGATTGTTTTTTCCTGATTGCCCAATCCTTTTCCACTGCGAACTTTCCTTCTCTTCTTTCATTCTAGTATCTTCCAATAGTCTTTTTTTTTTAACTAAAGAGCAATTAACAATTTTTAAAATAGTAAATAACTGTTAACTCCCTGCACGCTTCTGATAAAAGGAGAACATCTGTTAGGTATCACTTGTGATACTCCCCCTTCCTTATCACACACAAATCTCTTTTGAACTTTCTATATTTGGGGAGTGAAGAAGAGGAAAAGGAGAAAAGAATAAATGTTGATAACTTTACAGGGAGTCAAAAACCAGACTTCTCAAACTAAGCTTGGTCAGTTTTAACTTTACAGGATTGGAGGAGGGGGATTTAGCCTTTGGTATGAAACTAACTTCGTGATTATAGTTCTGTTATGTGAAACTCCAGAATTAGGTTAATGGAGTAAAATCAGGGATGTGGTAATGATAGTTTTGCTATCAACACAGTCTTGTGCACGTTTAACAGAATCGTAATAATAGATATCCTCCAACATGCAGAACAGAAATAAAATGCCACATACGGACAGATACTTTCCAAATTCCACCATGTTCAAAGAGAATGCACATAAAAAATACAAATGCAGAGTTTGCATATATTACTGTTTTAAGTGCAAAGCCTACAGCCGTTGCCTTTTGAGTCCAAGACAGAATGTTCAGTTCTGTAGCATGTTTTCGAAGGCATCCCCACCACTATTTTTGAGAACAACTGAAACTGCTGATTTTCATCTCTAAGCCCATCAAGTTTCAGAAAAGCTTCTGTCAGAGATCCGGCAAGTGGCCGTTTCAGATAAGATGGTTTCTTGGGTGAAAACTCAGTTCTGGAATTCTCTCCACCGTGTTACGTCTTACACTTCCATTAAAATGAACTTACTTGCTCTTATGATTCAACGGAGCTTTTCCAAAACTGGTACTCTCTGTAGTTAAGACCATTCAGTGAAGCAAGTTATGCTGAGAGAGACAAAAAAAGCCACTGAGCACCTTTTTATGGCTGACGGTGAACTTGGACCTGGGCCGCCTCGCTCACAGTCCAATACTTTCACAATTAACATCACACTGGCCCTGTGTGGAAACCACAACTGTCCAAAGACAGGAGCCAGAATGTTTTCTTGGAACAAGAATAAGAGCCACAATTTACTAATTTCCATTTTCTTTCATTTCCTTTCTTTGTTATGGATATATACACTGTTTCTTTTCTTTTATAATGCATTTGCTAAAGAATCCTGTTCCATATTCTCTAATAAAAAGATGCTATTCCCCCCCTCCTTTTTTTTTTTTTTTTTTGCCTGCAGGCTGCAGCTTTACCTTCTTCCAGGTTTAATTGTGGAGCTCCCTGTCGTAAGAGCAATGGCTTCCCTCATGTTCTCAGATGCTTTCACGCCCCTGATGGATTGTTTTAAACTTCACTCCTCCCGTTAGGATGTTAACATCAAGTGTGGTCTTACTAGAAGCTCATTCCTGCTGACATTAGGTTCACTAGAGTTACGGAACCTTCTAATCCATGTCAATTAGTTGTGTTAATTCAAATCATTAGAATTACTTCCCAAGTACGGACTGGAGGCACTGCCTATTCTTCCTTGGGCGGCCAGATCCAGCTTGTGGGTGTGAGGAGAGAGCTTTGGATTTTGTCACTTCTTTAACATGCAGACAAAGCCACCTGAGTAGGTCATCCATCAATTTAAAGGTTATGGTATCATCAGTATGCTGGGGACATCCTATTATACACTGCTACACCAGGGATGCTAACAATGCCTTGGCTCAGAATCTGCAGCCTGTGATAGGCTGAAGTTGAACCCAAATATATCAGAGTTACAATATGTCCATCAAAGTGTCTTGAGATCTCTAGTACTGTATTTAGATAGAATAGTACTTCCCCTTGAAAGAGTAGCTCCACAAGATATTGGTCCTCCTAGACTTGTGGTTACTACTCGATTGACAGGAGGAGACAGTGGCCAAGGGCTATAATTTAGGTGGGGTGCCAACTGTGACTCTGTTTAGAGCCAAAAAACCTTGCAACGTTAATTCATGCCCTTACCACCACTCACCTAAACTATTGTAATCTATATACTACAAAACTTCTCATTGTTGTGATTTTTAAATGGGCATCACAGGGCAACATTTTTTGAACCAAGGTACTTTAAATGGGCTAACTTACAGAATGTATACAAAATTTGGGACCCATGACTTCCAAGAGAATGAAATTTGAGGAAGTTGTGACTGCTTCAGTGCTACTGGCTACTGCTGTGGCCACATGGTCTTCATTTTCAACATTCCATGTCAGTTTCCCAGCCAGTCTCACAATCCCTTGCTCCCTCCCCCACTTAGCAGGACCCACTAACCTGCCTGAAGACAAGAAGGGAAGGGAAGGAAGGAAGGAAGGAAGGAAGGAAGGAAGGAAGGAAGGAAGGAAGGAAGGAAGGAAGGAAGGAAGGAAGGAAGGAAGGAAGAGAGATTCCCAATACTCCTAGAGTTCCACAAGAAAATCTGAATGGGTAAGCCAGTGGGAAGTCAGAAGTCACCCCTGCTCCCACTGCTTTTTTCCCTCGCCCTTGGTCATTTTGTTTCTTTGTTTAGATAAAGAAATATCAACTCAAGAGACTTTAATATCCCAAGAAAACAGATTCTCAGTCCCTAATCTTCACCTCTGATCATGTACATTAGTGTTTCCCAACTCCCCAATGTTTAAGATGTGTGAATTTCATCTCCCCAAATTCTTCCCAGCTGGCTAGGGGATTCTGGGAGTTGAAATCCACACTTTAAAACTTAAAAGTTGACAAAGTTGGGCAACACTGAGGCACTATAACAGAGTAAAATGAAGGTGGGAAGCAGGCAAAACAAGTATAGTTAGAACAAGCATGAAACAAAAATAAGGAGCTACTTATGTGAATAGAAACTAGAGAAGATAAAAAAAAAGAAAAATCTATCTTGAAAAAAAAATACCCTCCAACAACACCTGTGAAGAAACCAATGCAAAGTTTCCATTTTTCTGCACTATCCTGAATTGTAATATTCCTTTTAACAAACAGAATTTAAGAGCCCCAATTACAGTATTACACGAGTTTGAAGCACATTGGTTAAACTGTATGCTTCAAGGAACCCCTGAAGAAAGTTACCATAGTCTCTATATGTACAAGTAAAACATGCCATCTTTTAGCAAATGTGAATGCATACTTATTATTTATGTGCAGTTGTTTGCAAACTGAAAATAAATGGTTTCTATGGCACACAAAATACAGCACTTGTAAAAGTTTGAATACCCCTTTAACCAGCAGTTTTGTATCACCTTCTTTCTCAGAAATAATAGTTTCCAATATTTCCTATCGCCAACTAAGTGCCTTTCTATTCTTTTCCTAAAATTATTGTTATTTATTTTTCACACTCTTTATTTGTAGAAATGTTATAGCTTTGAAATATTCTTAGTTCTACCTACATGTTTGAGATCTCCATAAAGACTTTCAATTATATTCAAGTTTGAGAACTGTGAAGGCTTTTTAAAATTTTTATTTCTTTTTAAGTATTTCTGCTTGAAGTTATATTTCAGATCGCTGTTTTGCTACAAAAACCAACCTCTTTTCACCTTCATTTTTTTCACAGATAGTGGGACATTGGAAAGTTTTCCTTCTCTTAACTATGAGCTAAATGGATCTTAATTATTCCTTACAACTTTCTTGACTCCACTTTTATGTTGATTGTCAGTATCTTTATTTTTAAGGCTGAATAACTTACCTGTAGGAATTCCACAAAATTGCTTCGATTTTGAATGTATTTTTCCAACTTTTCTTATTTTCTGAAACTTTTCTAAAGATGGTGTTTAAATACAGCACCAATATGCAATCATTGTAAAAGAAGCTAATAAATTTATTCCATATATTCTACCTTAATGATATGCCCAGTAACTGACATTAAAGGAAACAAACACTGAGCTAGGATACAAGTCTGTTCACAGCATGGTGAATGAGTCATATTAAAGCTAACATATTTTAAGCTAACACCATGCGACAAATAGTGTGATAGTGTGGGAGATTCACATGACTGAATGGGGTTTTAAGTTCTGATAGTGAGCAATAAAAGTCACCTGAATTTATTTCTATGAATTTCCCAGATTAAAAGACAAGCCACACTGGAGATCCTTTCTGGCCTTCAATGGGACAACAATGTAATTCATCTTTTCCAAGAAGCAGAAGTCAATTGCTTGAAGAAAAGTGTTCATGCAGCTAAGTATATTCCCTCCCACCACACCATCCTAGCATTCAAATACAGAATCTCACAAGAATGAACCAAAACACAAATGCTTGGCAATTATTGCTTTTGCCTGCTACTTATTGCAAGAAAATATTAACCAGCATGCCAAGCCTGCTGTCTTAGTGTATTCTCAATCCAGAGAGGCTAAAACAAAGAGTCAGATTTCTAAGAAGCTTTCATATACTATTTTGAGATGGGGTCACTAACCCAGCTTATCCTAGAGAGAATTAGCAAGCACATTTAATCTTATTTAAGATCAAATGGCTACTCATCCTATTTCACACTTAAAGACCTTGTACGAATAAGAATAATACAAGTAGAAAATTCCTGGATCTAAAATCTATCTAGGTAACCACTAGAGTCAATGTTGACTTCATGGCACATAAACAACCAACCAATTAGTAACTATCAATTTTTAAATACTGCAAGTGTTTATTAAATACACACATGCTTGATACATAGGAGTACAAACACAATTATTTATTTAGCTCACTGAAAGCGACAACTTACGACATGACAAAGAAACCCTGTGACCATCTGGGTTGCAAATTCTTAGAATTTAAAGGTAGGTTCTTAGCTTATTTTAGAACGCTAAAGTTAGATGTCTGAATGCGTCCCAGCCAAGAGTACAATCAGATAAATAACCAAACTTCCTGGGGATTGTAGGAATTGCATCCTAATGTTTCTGGAAAATAGCTTGTGAGGAAAGAACAAAAACCATCTTGTAAATTATTTTACTGTTAGTTTAATAACTGCAAAAAACAAACAAACCTTGGGCTCATGAATATCTTCCTCACCCAGTAATGTCACATACCACGCAAAATTAATGCTTTCACTTCCATATCAGATAACAAGAGTTGCTTCCAAATCTAAAACTATAGTTAACTGTAACTATATGGCTTATGTTGAAAAAGAGCCAAGATCGTAAACAATTATTTGGAATTGGCTTCTTTAAGGAAACTATTAAGAATGATCACAGGGTGTCTAGTTGTCAAAGCACAGCAATAAACTGATCAGTAAAGAAAGCAAATGAAAGCTTTTAAATATATAGCCATGCAGAAGATGCCAGGGCTGTTAAATGAATCAGTGCAGCCGTTGTTAAGTAAATTATGTGATGGTTAAGTGACTCTCACTTTGCCCATTGGCTTAATTTGTCGGAAGCCAGCTGGGAAGTTCACAAACGGTGATCATGTGACCCAGGACACCACAGCCATTGTAAATATGTATCAGTTGCCAAGTGCCCAAATTCTGATCTCGTGACCCCGGGGATGCTGCATTTGTTGTAAGTGTGAGGACCGGTTTTAATCCACTGTAATTTTGAACGGTTACTGAAGGAATGGTTATAAGTCAAGGACTACAGTATTCATCACATTGTATAGCAACAGAAAGGCGCAAACTAGAAAATCTAATTTCGTTATCTTCAACCTACTTACCGAAATATAGGAGTATGGCCAGGCTTTGGTTTATTCCAGGTGAAGTGTGACGGGACAGAAAGAAACTGGTCACCAGACAAATCTTTTTTTAACATATGCTGGGATACGGAGCTCTCATCTATTGCAGTTTCGAGGGACGGAGATAGATTGCCCGGGTCTTCAGAACAAAGTTCCGCTTTCCCAGATATAATTGCGGTTTGATCCTCGGAGGTCTTCCTTGTTTTAAGAGGGATGTCGGTATCTCCGCAGCACTGGAAAGCTGAAAGGCCAGGGCCAAGGCCATGGAGAGAGGAATTCAACCACGTATCTTCCGTAACGCTTCCCCGAGGAGAATGTCCTGGTGATGGAGCGGGGGAATGATGAGGAGAAAGGGAACCGATATAACAGATTTCAGCACTCGAATGCCGGCGCTTCCCACACGGCGATGTAGGCCTTGAGGATGGCCTTGAGGTTGGCCTTGGGCTGAGCCAATTCTCATCGGTGATACTAGTCCTAGGAGAATGACAAGGAGATTGCCTTGGCGACAAGGCATGCCCAAATCCGTAGGATTGTTGCCAAGGATCATCAACTGGACAGCCTCTTGGAGAACCTCCAGGAGATGCCAAAGGTGACCCAAGGGTAAACCGAGCAGCGGCTTCGTTCAGTTCCGAATCCACGTCATCGTAAATATGGGAGACTGACTCACAAGAGGAAGCGTCTGAGAACCAGCTCCGAGAGGAAATGCTGCTGGCCGGACTTGGGCTAAGGGATGACTCTCTGTAAGATGGCTCAAGAGGAAGATATAAGTGGTCCCTGGAAGGCCTTTCCATGTATTCATTCTGAGGGCCATTTGTGTGCAATTCACTTTCGCTGGCTTCTATGCCATGATGACAGTTTGGAGAGATAGATGTGATCTGAATACTAGGACATTCAAAAGGCTTAGGCCCACCTAGTGGACTGTACTTAGATTCCGGTACGTCACATGTTCCTTCGTAGCTTTTGTGACCCTGCAGTTTAGCAGGTGAGGACAAAGGAGAAGGGTGTGTTTGAAATCCATGACATGGGATACAAATGGGATGGTTTACCGAGGATGAGTGGTCGACACTGAAAATGCATAAAGATGCACAGTCATCAGGTTCAAGATCTGACAAAAGGAGAAAACAGAGGGAGATTAAAATACTGCGTTATAAGAATCTTGCTTTTTTTTAAGACATTTGATCTTCTCCTTTTTTGCATTGTAAGGCAACATAATGATGGATTCAAAACATTTGCACCCTACTTGTCTATAAAATGTCTGGAATTTGCAATGATGTTCAAAACATTAAAGTAACAATATATTAAAAAATCGAGATATAGCACAGATGCTAAAAATCCAGGAACGAGCACCGTAATATCACTAAAAAAAAGCCAGCCGGTACTATGGCTTTGAGCTCATTTGGCATGAAGACTAAACTGAACAGTGGTGTGGGTCAAGTTGGGGTAAATGAGCCCACCCATACGTTGCTGTCTCTACAACATCCTTCACAAAGGTCATCTCTGAAATCTAACTACTAGTACAGTAACTAGTAATTACAGATTATCTTCAATTTACAGTCGCAATTGAGACCGGAACTGCTGTTGCTAAGCCCTGCTGTTGTTAAGTGAGTCATACCCGAGTTTGCAACCTTTTTTTGCCATACTTGTTAAGTGAACCACGATAGTTGTGAACCCTGCGATTCTTAAATGAATCTGGCTTCCCCCACTGACTTGTGTCAATTCTGCTAACATTGGGATGTTCTTGCTTTGACAACATATGGAGATGCAGCCTTTTTCTTTCTTATGCTTTACTCTTACAATTAGATGATGCTGGGGGGGGGGAGGAGGAGGAGGAGGAGGAGGAATGTGATGGGAGTTAGTTAGACATAACAATATTGTAATAGTGTGTGAACTCAGGGCTTTTGAAAGAAGAGATATAAGAAATGGCGGGCTGGAGTAAAGGAGGGAAAGCCTGCATTTCAAACTAATTGGAGAATGTGATTTATGACTGTTAATTAGAGGAGGGAATTGTGCTTTAATACTATGTGCTAAGGGGAGAGGAATCCAGATTTTGGCTTCCACTATGTATGTGCCGCTTCTATGCTGATCAAATAAAGATTCTTTAAGGTAAACAATGTCTCAAGTTCTTTGAAGAGTTTCATCTGTCAGAACCATGACACTTTGCTTGTCAAAAGCAGCCAGGAAGGTTGCAAAGAGTGTTCACGTGACTCCAGGATACTGCAATCATCATAAATATATGCCAGTTGCCGAGAGCCCAAATTCTGATCACATGACGGTGGGGATGCTTTGAGGATTTATAATCCTAAATCTTTGTGAGTTGAACTGCATAGTAAGTTGATATTTAAAATTTTTCCATTAAATTCAATATTTGAGGGGAAAGCAAATTACTTTTTGTAAAAAGACATAGGCAATGGCTCCAGACCACGATTCACAGGCCACCCTTATGTTCACAGATAGTCAAGTTTTTTGTTTTATTCTTAGCTTATCACCACTTATCTGGCTGTAGCTGGTGAGTCTCAGATTTTTAAGAAAAGCTAAAGATAATCCTATAAGGACGGAATAACTGGATAACTTGCATACAGGTTTTGATAAAGTGGCCAAGTTCTATATGCAGTCACCACCACAGCAGCCATTGGCCAAAACATATCTAAAAGGCACCATGGAATGGAAATATTGCATTAAGGTGCTATACACACAACATATTCCTTAGAATGAATGTGTTATTTCAGTTACAAAGATGCTAGCAAAATAGATACGTTTTGTTTTCTATAAGCTCACTTGAAGAGGTTACTGGAGAAGTGAAAGGCTCCTGTTTATCCATGACATATTTTGCAAAGGCAGGAAGGTTGTTGAATAAAGTAACTAAATCTTTAGCAACTGCTCAGAAATTTAGACACAAAGCTCTTCTCATCTGAAGCCCAGTGCTCTTCTCCAGCAAACTGATTTTCAAAAGGATCCAGAAACATTCTCAATTTTTCACAACAAATTTCTATAAAGCCATGGTTATCTTGAATCATCTTGTCTACAGTAGCAAACTATCTTGTGACAGGGTTTGATAAACATCAAACCGCTGTTCTTGCAGACTATGCCACTTTTCATGTATTAAGTCCTTTATCAAGATCAATTCACGTATTGGTGCCTAACAGCAACCTCAGTATCAAACGTGCAAGCTGTCTTTCTCTGTTGCTTTAGTTTTTGCAACCATTTGTTTCTCTGTTTTTTTTTCTTCAGAAAATAGAATTGGGATAAGCAGTGAAATATCCAGCTATTGGAATGGTACCAATTATTCATTGGTATAAACAATAAAAACCGCCAAACAATCCTGAAAGAAGGAGAGAACATCTTTCTTAATAAAATGATAGATTTGAGACCACACGGTCCTATTTATAAATACTAACAAAAGCTGAAACTGTCAAAAGAATTTAATATGCCTAATAGACAACTTTTCTACACAGGCAATGATGCAGGTACATCCAAGATGAGAAAGATGTAGGAGGAAGTAAAGAAGTCACCAAAATAATAGTACTCTATTGCAGAACTCAACCTTCTAGCAAGATTAAAGAACTCTGGGTAAGAATGCCTAACACAGTAAATTCTGCACAGCATTTCTGCTAAAACCGTTTTTGCAATAGTTATTCTGAAGAAAGCAGGGGGAAATAAATTAATTCTCACCCAGAAGTCTAACAGAAGATCTTTGTGGATTGTTCGTAGATATATATCAAGAAATGGCTTGTTGTGATGGCACTTTGCGAATAAAATCATGAAGAAGACCTATCTGTCAGAATCAACATTATGTGGCTTTGAACAAAAATGTATGTCTTTAATTTCTTATCCTCTTGAATCTACAAAAAGCTGGGTATAATTTAAAAAAAAGAGTATTCGGGCTACAATAATGTTAAATTAAAAGGTGCTATAAAAATGGATCCAGCAGGATCTCCCGCTCTCTTCTGTCAATGTTCTCAAATATCATGATCAATTCTTAATGGTTTAAGAGCAATTGGCTTTGACGTGGGTATCCAGCAACTATCCTTCCTTAATGCCAGCTAGCATAACATTTAGAGCAAAGGGTTATCTATTCGAGAAATATACATTGGCTGGGGCTACTTTAAAGAAACCAATAAGCTGAGGGGAGGCCCTTAAACATTTGGATTCAGAGATCACTGAAAACAATGGTCCCCAACTGCTTATCATCCTGCATGATTCTAGATCTCGTTAATTGAGAGAATTGCCTTCTTGCACCTTCACCTGCCCATCCAAAGAGGTCAAACTGCGTCAACTACTTCCAGATCCCATTCCATAATTTGGGACTGGGCATTCTCACTCTCTGTCCTCAGGTTTTGGAATTCCCTGTTTTTGGAGAGCTGCCTGGCTCTTCTCAACTGAGCTTCAGTAGGACAGTCAGGATCTGATTGTTCCATCAAGCAGCAGAAGAGAATATATTGTGACTGAAGGTTGGAGTGTTAACAGGCGCATGACTTTGTATTTCCTGGTTTATAACTTTTAATACTGGCAATTTTTGTTTATATCTGGGGATGGGGAGGGTAGGTATTCATTATTCTATACAGCTATTCTTTTGTATAATGATTTTGATGGTTAGCTACCCACAACCTGAAGTAATAGATGACATTCAAATACTGTAAAGTAAATAAATCCATTTTTATTGATTTTTATCCCACCTGTATTATTTATTTATTATTTATCCCTGTGAGGTAGGTTGCACTAAGAGAGTGACTGATCCAAAGGCACCACAGCTGGCTTTCATAACTAAGGCAGAACTTGAACTCATAGTCTTCTGCTTTCTAGCTGGTGCCTTAACCAATAGACTAGAACAAACTGGCTCTTTTAACTTAATCAACTTTTAACAGCAACACCTTATTCTGCTGATACAGGAGAAAGCCATTCAGTCTTTGGAGACAATCATTCAAACCAGAGAAGGTTTAAGTTTCTTGTATTGACTTGGCTGAAAATATCTACTCTCCACTTAATAAACAACGCTGTTTTATCAATAAAACATTAAAACAAAAGAGTTTAAATTCATCAATAATCTCCATCCTGTTCACAATCATTCCAAAAGGTATCACGTTTCATATGTCCAGAAAATATTTAAAATGTGGCACTTGTGAATATGAGTTTCAACAGTAAGAGGCTCCACCTAGTTCCTGCCTAAATTAGTATCAACAGAATTATATTCTTAAAACTACAAATAATTCAGATTTCAGTGTATGGCACAGAGACTAAGAAGAAATAATAAGTGACACATCTGCTCTGCACAGTAATAGCTTTTAAAAAACTGATAATGGCAGCACAGCTCCATCTAGAACCAAATATGATCCCTATAAAGAAGAAAGTAATTTAGATTAAATACAATAGAAGCTATTTTCTTCTCCTCTCAGCTGAAATTATCTAAGGTGGAGCAACAGAGTGAATACCGGAATCAATTTACATGGCTCATACTCTAAATGAGAGGTCCTTTTGATGCTTCAGTTTCAGATAGCACAGTTTGCCAAGCTTAATTTAATATGCTATTTCAGGTACATATAAAAATACAAATTGTTTTGACAGCAATTGTTACAAATTTGTTTTGCTTTAACTAAACATAAGAAATCTTCTGTGCTTTCAGAACTCCAAGAAGCTTTATATAACAAAACCTAAAATGAATCAATGTACTTTCGTTAGTTCTGTTAAATTGTCATTTAGATATACATGCAAAGGACTTATGGATTTTTTAAAAAAAATCAAACAGATAATAATAGATCTGCAAATAAGATTAGTGTTGGAACCAATTCTGCTTTAAGTCAAATAGCTGCACTAAGAAAACCAGTACAGATTCAACTACAATAAATTACAGCTTGAATTTTGCAAAACAACTTAATAGATAAACCATTTTGAATATATATATTAGCATCGGCAGCTCTGGTGGTAATGGGGCACTTGCTACACATCATATCTTTGAAATTTCTACTGATGGGACTAGGAGAGCTGCCTGATTATAGACACAGTGACTGAAGTACTTAGATTGCCTTTCTATGGGCTTATAATGTTACTATATGCAATTTATTCATGCCTTTTTATTTGCAGGATGGAATCTAAAATCCTGGGTATAGCATCCATCAATCCTTCCTAAGTATGCCTCTAATTCAATTGTATGTTCATATGAATTTAATTCTGTGTCCTCTGGACTGCCAGTCTGTGCTGGAAATAGAATTTCCAAATTCTGGAAATTTTCTGATTGTTATTTTGAAACCTATGAGTACCAAAACAGTTCAGTTTTCGGTAATGACTTCCATCTAGATACATCTTAACTTTGCTTATTCCCACAAGTTCCTTTCCAACACACACTTCCTGTCCACATATTCAGCAGGTGCACTCTAGAATACTGAAAAAAAATATTAAAAATAAAATTCAGCTAACAAGGCAAAATCTGATGAGAAAAACATTTGCGACATGAGTAAAACTGAACAGCAAGAGGGGCTGCAACCTCTCAAACTCTTTGAAAATGCTAGGGGATATTACAAAATAGCTCAAGCATGAAGATGATGGGGCAATCACAGCACTAACCATAGTTATGTGTCAGGCTATTTTCAGCAGACGCCTGCAATAATTGGTGGAAATATATAAACGCAGGAATTAAGGACTGATTTCAACATCATCTCTTGAAGGGGGACATTATGTCAAGAGTAACTGCCAAGGAAAGAATATTGACCATATGTACTAAATTAGAAATAAATGTACATTGGCCAAGCAAGAAACTACAAAGTTATGCAGCAAAACACGTCAGACCTACATAACGAACAAATAAACCATTCAGAAAAGTATTCTAACAAATGCTACTAATTCAGGCAAGAAGTACTTAAAGGTCTTGAGAAATGTATATAAATGAAATATATTTTATCTTAATTTATACAGAACTAAAACACTCAGCCTGACTGGCAAAAAAAAAACCCCAGATACTATTATTGCTATTTCATTCAAGCATGGCTGAATTGACATTCTCAAACTGCAGCTTTTGACTTTGCTCAGAACCCTAGTGAAACATCGATCAATTTTTTAAATCAGAAAGTACTTTCTTTCCCAAAAGCGTCTTACATTTTTGGTTTTCCATCTTCAATAAAGTCTTTTGCCTTGATGTTTGCTTTTTGCAGGTGTCCAGGGAATGTTTGTTGTATTTTAAGGGCACAATGGTTATTTAAATCACAAGATCTCAAACCCTATTAAAGGCACCGTTTCATTCTTTAGAAACACATCTGTTTCTAAGGATCTGTTCAAGAGTTTTTTCCAATGTTCAAGAAAAGCACAAACATTTAAATCAAAGTTTCTGCAACAAAGGTATACATTACTATAATCTTTTTTCATTCTGAACTATTTTTTTAATCCTAGAAAAAAGTTTCAAGATTACTATGGTTAGCAGCAAGAATATTACTTATAGTCTAATACTACAGTGATTAATATAGGGACTTGTCAAAAATTGCTTCCAGAACACAAGGCAGTTTTATATGTTACAGTAAGCCATTCTCTAAAAATAAATCTGCCTCAGGAGCCTGTAAATCTGCAGGGAGGACCCCAGCTAAATAATGTCAATCCCAACTCTTATATACACTTGTGCTTATTTCCTTTAGTACAAGGTAGGTCTTGACTATAATTAACAGGCATTCGGTGCTACTGAAATTGTTGTGAATGTTTTTTAAGCATTTTAAAGTTTCTGCGTCCCTGACAGGCCACTTCCCATTTATTGGGATGGGCAGAGGGAACCAAATTCTTTGGACAGCTGATTCAATATGCAGACATCTATTCCCTGCTCTTCCAGGCCCTTGTACACTTCTATACTTCACAGCAAAGCAATAAATGACCACACAGTTGTACATTTCCACAAGGCCCAGACGAGGAGGCATTTAGCTTTGGACAGTATCTCCAGGCTTTTGTTGTTTGTTTTTTCCTTAGAAACACAAATCTTTGATTTTATATATATAGGTTTTTAATCGCTTATTTCTGTATGCCATCGTAAGACTTGAAAAGGAGAATGGCCATGAGCAAGCAGCCCTCTCCTGCCTTCTGTTAAGTCCAGTCTTTGCTTGTTTAGAGCTGCCAAGACCACACACACACACACACAAATTACATCAGGAACCCACGTCCATTATCTACAATAAAATGCTTCCAAAAACCAGACCTATCCCTACTAAGTAAGTTTCCAGCCATTCACAACATTCATCAACAGTATTCTAAAGCCAACAGGCATCTGGTTTTGAGGTTTCTAATAAAAATATTGCAGTACAACTTGATACAACTTCACACAAGCACCAACTGCTCAGAGAAAAGCCAGCTGCAGGATTTCCAATTAAAATCTTGCCTGATAGCCTAGGTAAATCATTTGAGATCTGCTACCACTTCCTTACTCTTGCCAAGAAAACTGTCTGATGTTCATGAAGTCACTAGGTGCCAAGCCTGACTTAAAGAAACTATTTTTTTTTCTATTACTAAAGCCTTAGTGATGTATTACTACCAGGTTTTGCATATATGAAGGGTAGAGACAACCTGCAACTAAAAAGAATCAGAGGTTATCCTAGTCACTATCCAATCCATTCTAGTCTTTTTGAAGTTCGGGTTGCTGGCCCAAATGCCTTTAAATAAGTTAAAAACCTCCAACCAATACTGAGAAGATTTGCTTTGATGCTAAATTCAATCCTTGACAATTAAGAGGATCCCTGATGATAAGACTAGGAAAAGCCATCCCTTCCTAGCTACTCTATCTGTAGCAATACAAAGTAAGAGGAACCAATATCCTGGTTTAGTTTAAAGTAATGTACTAGATTCAGTAAAACAGTAATATCTTTATTGTTAGGAAGAGTCCAATCCTCTCTTATGAAGCCCACTGAACTCCAGAAAGGGTACCGTACATCTTCTGTCCCTAAACATTCTACATCATTCTAAATCACAGGGAATATCTCTCTAGGTGTCAATAAGAGTCCATACAGTCACGATGTAGCACATCAACAACTCAAAACATTTGAATACGCATTCATCTTTTTTGACTGAGTCCCAAGCCATTCAGAAGTCCATCAGATTCTAAATGCACGTCAGAAATAATCCTCATTCCCTTTTTTTACAAAATGCTTTTTATACATTAACCATTTCTGAAAGAGTCAGAAAGTCCATCACATTCTAAATGCATTTTAGAAAAAAAGCCCCTTTCCCTTTTAGTAATAAGAAACGTATTTGCTTTTATATAGAGATTAACCCTTTCTGATCTAAGTCCCAAACGCTTCTTCAGCTGCCTGGTTTTGAGGTGCTTCTGATGAAAATACTGCAGTACAATTCGATACAACTTCACATCCCAGCCCCAACCGCTCAGAGGAAAGCCAGCTGCAGCATCTCTGATTAAAAATCTCGCTCCATAGCCCCCTAGGCAAATCACTTGAGATCTAGCACTGGCGAAGTTACCTAGACAGGGTCCTAATCAAGGAGAGAAGCAACCTAGAACTAAGGAGAAACTTCCTGACAGTTAGAACAATTAACCAGTGGAACCACCTGCCTCCAGAAGCGGTGAATGCTCCAACACTGGAAGTCTTTAAGAGACTGGGCAGCCATTTGTCTGAAATGGTGTAGGTTCCTGCCTGAGCAGGGGGTTGGATTAGATGACCTCCAAGGTCCCTTCCAACTTTATTATTATTATTGATCATCGCACAGACAGCCAGATGTTCAGACTGGATTTGGCATTTTTGTCTAACTATCGAGTCCTTTCTAAGGACCTGGGATAGGCAGATGTGGATGTTTGATGGTATTAACATCTCTCGTTGCAGGATGGAAGTGGTTCCTAGTAAGGCCGCCTTTTGCAATTGACTAATGGCGAATTTGTCAATGCCAATGGTGTCCAAGTGGTGCTCCAGTTGTTTTGGGGTTGCACCCAAGGGGCCTATTACTATTGGTACCACCTTTGCTTGCCTTTGCCACAGTCTTTCTATTTCTATTTGTAGGTCTTTGTATGTTGTGATCTTTCCAGTTCTTTCTCCTCTATTCTGCTGTCTCCAGGCTATTATTATTATTATTATTATTATTATTATTACTATTATGAAATGTCTGCAAGAAAACAAGCCAGCTCAGAGAGCACCAAGGAGATTCCCCCTCCCCCCATTTCAATCCTGAGCCACAACAATTCTCTCCTCCACTGCTCCCGCTTCTTCCTTACTACTACCTGGAAAGACCACGGGATCCTCCATGCAGGCAAGAGAAAGAAGCCAATCCTTCCCTGCTCTCTCTCCGAGGGAGCAAAGAAGAAAATAAAGCCAAAGCAGCCCGCCGGGGGGGGGGGAGGGGAGGAAGGAGGATTCCAGCCCCTTAACCAAAGGACAAAGTTCGGGAGGCTGTCACCCCCCACCCCACCAGGCACGGGGTGGTGGCAAACGGCCACCCCTCGAGGGGGGGGGGTTTCAGACGGCTCTCTGCAAACACGAAAGAGGGAAGAATCCCATGCCGGGGTCTCCTCGGCCACGGATCCCCACGGGGAGTCGGGGGGGGGGTAGTCCTCTTGCAAGCCCGTCTCCCTCGCAGGGCTCCATATGGCCCCAGCAGGCAGGCTCAGAGGCAGCCCGCATTGCTCGGGGACCAGCGGGGAGGGGGGGGGGAAATGGGGCGAAACCCGCTTCTCCTCCCAGCCAGTTGCACGTCTGAACGCGCGTCGGGCGCCCCCCACCAGGCAGACCAGGTGGGGGGGTGAGAAGAGGGGGCAAAGCCTTTGAACGCTGACTAACCCTCCCCTCCCGGTTCCTGCCCCTCCACCGCCGGGCTGCGGAGCATGGGAGTTGGGGTCCTGCCGGCGTTTTCTCCTAAGCCGCCTCCCCCCCCCACCGCCCTCCCCTCCCACGGCCTGCCCGGCTGGGCGCACCTGCTGCTGAGGCAGCGGCGGCGGCGACAGGCCCCGGCGGCTGGGGCCCGCCGTCCGCCTCCTCTTCCTCCGCCTCTTCGCCGAAGATGAGCCTGAAGTCGAAGTCGTCGTGGGCGCCGCCGCCGTTTGCCGCAGTCATCGGGGGGCGGGTGAGGAGCCCGGACCCCGCCGCCGCCGTGGTGGTCGTGGCCGTGGTGGTGGTGCTGGGGGTGCCGGCGGGGCGAGGCGGAGGGACCGGGCGGGCCGCGCTGCCCCGTCAGGGCCGCCTCGTCGCACGCGCGGGGGGCGCTCGACGTCCTCGCCGCTCCTCAGCGCCCGCCTGTCACTCACCCGCCGGAGGGGAGGGGGAGAGAGAGAGAGAGAGAGCGCAGGCCACGCCCCCAGCCCGTTAGCAGCCGCTCGGCCGCTGATTGGTCGCCTGGCGGGGAAGGGGGCCTCGGAGCGCGGCGGTGGAGCCCTCACCTCCGGTTCTCCGTCGCAGCAGCGCGCCAAGATGTGGCTTCGCTCCGCTCTGGAAGGGGCGGGAGGGAAGAGGGGCACAAAGTGTCTCTGTGTGTGTATGTGGGGCGGGGTGTGTGGATACGCCTCCGGTTCTCGCCCTTCGGGGGTCAGACTGGGTGGCTGTAACCAATTGAAAGCAATAATAACAACAGCAGCAATTCTATGTGGGCCATTCCATTCCAACCAGACCATCCCGTTATTAGTAGCAGCCGTTCCAGACGAGAGCTGCTACCGATTGTGCAGACATCCCGAAACTCTTTCACACTCAGCATGAGTCGGTAATTCGGTTCCACCCACTCCCAGCACGCATTCTGGCACATTGTATTGCATTTTATTGGCAAACAAGACGGGGGGGGGGGCAAGGAGCGAGTGCCCAGCCCGACTGCGCTCTACGTCTCCAATAAAGGTCTGACAAGAGCAAGAGATCAATACTTCAGGGTAAAGTATGAAATATGGTTATATTTCAGAATAAATGGAAACACTTTAAAACGGCACAGGACCTCCTTTCAAGGATCTTACATAGCCCGCTGCCCTCTTACAGGGACGAATCTCAACATGTGGCATTTCTCAGCCTCAGCTTTGCAGAAAGATGCAAAGTCTGCACTCTCTCATCCAGTGTTCCTCAACCTCAGCCACTTTTAAGATGCACGGGCTTCAACTCCCAGAATTCCCCAGCCTTCTGTCTGGGGGATTCCGGGAGTTGAAGCCCGTGCATCTTAAAAGTGGCTGCGGTTGTGAAATACCGTTCTAAACCACGACTAGAAGACCTTTGGGGGTCCCTTCCTAGGCTATAATTCTATATTCTGTGTTCCTCTGAGTGGTGCGACAACCAGAAGCCGGAAGTTCCGTTGTTCACCACACCATTTAGCCTCTTGGTTGGCAAAGGGTCATCTCCCGGCGGCTCCGTCTGATACTGTAACTTACAAACCAAGCCAGAGCCACGCCTCCCGGCAACGTCACCGGCCCGTCATTTGTCCTCCATGGCCCTGGCTTTGTAGCCCCGCCCAGCGGCCCGGGCTCCTCACCCAAAGCCAGTCTTGTTTGTCCGATGACGTCAAGAGCCTTTCGACTCCGAGCAGAGAACCCAGGCCGAGATGGAGGGCGGGGCCCGACGAGTCACGTGGTGCGAGCGAGCGTCCTCTTCCCCCCTCCCTCCATCTCTCCCTGCTGGGAAGCGCGTGCAGCCGTTTTGCAACTTTTTATTTTTTTATCAATGGGAGAAAGAAATGAAGGGTAAAGATTTGGGCTCCAAAGCCCTTCAAAAGTTCCCTGCATCAAACCTGCGGATGTGCGAAAAAAAAAATTAAAACCCAGTGAGAAAAAAAAAATTACAGTCCCAGGAATGTGATGGTTTTCATGAGGTCTTGCGTCTTGTTTTTGACTTTCGATCGGAAGCCGATCCCAGTTGGTGACAAGATGGGCGGTTGGATTGGTTTTTTAAATAAATAAAATAAATGCCCTTACAACCTGGTGATTGAACCAACCCATTTGAGGTGGTGGTCTTGTTTCATCTTAAGACATATACCAAAATGGTTTGGATCCATCTCCCGTGTACAAGTGACATAAATCAATCTTGTCCGGGGTGGGCATATATCTGGCAGATCTTTCCTTAGGTAAATCTATTTTTATTGTTCAACTTTACTTTTTAATTTACTTTTTTACTTTATGTTCTTATGCTTCAAACCAGTCAGTCCTAGAGGAGATCAACCCCAACTGCTCTTTAGAAGGCCAGATCCTGAAGTGGAAACTCAAATACTTTGGCCACCTAATGAGAAGGAAGGACTCACTGGAGAAGAGCCTAATGCTGGGAAAGATGGAGGGCAAGAGAAGAAGGGGACGACAGAGAATGAGGTGGCTGGACAGAGTCACTGAAGCAGCAGGCGTGAGCTTAAAGCAGCAGTTCTCAACCTATGGGTCGCGACCCCATTTGGGGTCGATCGACCATTTTTCGGGGGTCGCCAACGGTGGCGATCCGCCATTTTTCGCAGCGCCGCGCATGCGCGCCGCGCACGGGGGGCGGCCCCGCGCACGCGCACCGCGCACGGGGGCGGTCCCACGCACGCACACCGCGCACGGGGGCGGTCCCACGCACGCGCACGGGGGCGCCCACGCATGCGTGCCGCGCATGGGGGCGCTGCCGTGTGCGCGCGGCACGCATGGGTCGGCACCGTGCACGCACGTCGCGCATGGGGGGGCGCATGCACGCGGCGCATTGGAGCCCCGCCCCCATGCGCGCTGCGCATGCGCAGGACGTTTGTGTGACGGGGGTCGCCGTCACACAAACGTTGAGAAGCACTGGCTTAAAGGGACTCCAGAAGACAGGTAGAGGAAAGGAAGGCCTGGAGGAACGTTGTCCATGGGGTCATGATGGGTCGGACACGACTTTGCAACTAACAACAACAATGCTTCACTTTATTTTGCTTGTAGAGCCACCTTCTCACATCTAGGACTCTCTAAGTGGCTGCCATAATGAAAACAAACCACACAAAAAAGGCAATAGGCAAAATACAGGTATCGATGAGAACATAACTCCATTAAAACCGTAGTAAAACCCGATTAACAGTAGCTGGATCTGCATGCACAACGACAGAGGCCTGCTCTAAGATCCTTTCAGAAAACCAAAATCTAATCCCATTACCTGGACTTCCGCAGCACACTACACTACCCATAATCTCAACACGTTCCACCCGCACAGTGTTTTTCAACCTTAGCCACTTTAAGATGTGCGAACTTCCAACTCCCCAAATTCCCAATTCTGTGGAATTCTGGGATTCGAAGTTCACAGTCTTAAAATGATCAACGTTGAAAAACACTGCTCTAACATACGCTGTATGTCAGAACAGATTTTGCCAGGTTCAATTACGGTCATAAGTCAAGAACTACCTGTAGATAAGATTTTCCCTGTTAAATAAGGTATCTTTTTCTGTCATAATTCCAGCACTGGGCACATGGCTTTGAAGCTGAGCATAACAAGCAGATGGAATTTGATGCCACCAGGTATCATAACGGTTTTTAAAAGAATTAGACCAAGACCAGGGCAGAACCTTTAATGATTCTAGATGACCTTTGGGTTCAGAAAATTCCATTTTATCAGTTTCATTACCGTGCTCCCTTTCTCTCTCCCTCTGATTTTCCTGTGAATTAGTCAGTAGTGCCAAATGACTTTCAATAAGTACATTAACCGGCAATTGATTTAACACATTTTCCTCTGTTTTGATTTGTTCAAATGTATTGAAATGAGTTCAGGATGAAAATAAGTGAATGAATGGAGCACTCTCGGTCTGAATTTATCCCTAACTATTTTAAACACATTTAAAAGGATGTTTAGAGTCTCTTGCTCACTGAGTCAATTATTCTTCACATTCAGCCTTCATAACATGGCATAAAGCATAAAATGTAGGCATATTATATACATGTTTGTGTATGTATATACACACATACATACATATAAACATATATATGTTTAGAACTATATGTGTATAGTTTTATGTAACACTATTACCCTGAAAGACAATAATATGATGGATTCGTATGAGAAAGAGAGAGAGAGAGAGAGAGAGAGAGAGAGAAATATTAAACTGTAATTCATGCCAGAAAACTGAACCCGTTATCTCTGCTGCATTCTTGAGTTGTAAATGGCAATTTGCAAAGTGCAATGACAATGGGATTTCTTTCAGGGATAACGTAAGGTTTTATATGAATCCAGCTAACTCTAGAGTAGTGGTTCTCAACATTTCTAATGCCGCGACCCCATAATACAGTTCCCCATGTTGTGGTGACCCCCAACCACTTATAAATCACGGGTGCCAGGGGCTTGGCCAAAGAAAAGGGGGAAAAAATGGCAGACAGCCTTGTTTGGCAACCCCTGTGAAATGGTCCCGACCTACAGATTGAGAACCACTGCTCTAGAGCCAATTACTACTACAGCAGCTGTACAGAAGCTACTAGAGCTCCAGGCAACATTTGTCTACAAGCAATGATTTTTGACTTTTAGGGGCCCCTCTAATCAGTAACATCTCTTACAAAGCATTCCAGAACTTCAGCCTTCATTCTAAAACAGGCCCAGCACCATTTTTAACATTCCTGAACCTTCTGGAACTGTCCCTAGGGAAACACTCCCCCCCCCCAACCTCACTGTTATGCTGCCCCCTCCATTCTAGGTCATCGGTTTTGAGATTTTTTTTTCAAGGCAGGTTATCCCTGTGGATCCGACAGATCGTAGGAGAAAGGTTCTGCCAAATCAGGAACCTGCCATTTTCTGTTTACACAGGCACACTCCTTGAACCCTGTTTGCTGAGCCAAAATTGTGCCTCTGGTTTAAGAGAAAGTCGATAGGATTGCTGAAAGAAGTGGAAGAAATTGAATGAATTAAGAATTAAAAATCTGGCTATTCTTTGGCTTTCATGATTCAGGTGAGTTCCAACCAATTAAGCAGAGTGCTTTGAAAGCAAAATACTGATCCTGCACAAAACAATCCATTTTAATGCCTTCTATCAAGTAAATGGTTATTTTAATCAGGGATCTCTACGTTGGAGCCAACCAAGCAGTTCACATAAGGTAAAGATATAGGAGACCTTGAGAAGTTCAAAGGGGAGAAGAAGAAAAAAACAAGGAAGGAAAAAAAACAATATTTGGAAATTATAAATTAACTAAGTAGAGATAACAGAACTGGTATATGTCGCTCACCTTCTCTTAAGATCTCCCGTCCTGTTCTGATCTGGAGAGGGTCCAAGGAACCAGTCTACTCCTGGGTCTTTGGCATGGTTATTGGCTCAGCTTTTGCAGAACTATCTTTAGTTTGCCAGACCTCCCCCAGAAAGTAGCCTAATACCTTAGCATTATGGGATGGGAACCCATCCATGGA